TGGGCATACCGAACTATAGAGAAGACCGCCACCGGAGAAACTCCCTTCAACCTCACCTTTGGCACGGAGGCAGTCATCCCAGCCGAAATCGAAATCCAAATCCCCTCACTTCGGTTGGAAGCATACAATGACAATACTAATAACGACGAGCTGCGTACCAACCTCGACCTACTTGACGAGGTAAGGGACCTCGCATACATTAGAATCGCGGCGTACCAGCAAAGGGTGCCTCGGTACTACAACGCCAGAGTTAAGAAACGAAACTTTTGTGTTGGCGACCTGGTTCTCCGCAAGGTCATGGTACTCGAACTCGGCGTTGGCAAACTTGGTCCGAACTGGGAAGGACCCTATTGAGTAAAGAGAGCACTCGGAGGAGCATACAAGCTCGAGACCCTGGAGGGTAAACAAGTACCCTGAGCTTGGAACATCATCAACCTAAGGCGATATTACCTATAGCTACCGAACTGGGCGAACTGTGGGCCGCTCCCAGAGCCTAAGGGCCAGAACACCGAGGTAACAAAGACCTCGACACTACAAGACCCAGTCATCTCTTTGGTATGGGCAAAAAACTAGGAAAATATCCTAATTGCTAAAGCGCCGAGCTGAGAATAACCTCGGGGCCTCGTCAACAAAAACTAAGTGTTAATACCAAAAGAGCAGGCAGCTCGGGTATGAAACCCGGGGTGTATAGCTCGCTCCAAGCCAGGCCTACTGAACTAATATTTCCTTTACCCAGATGGAGAACAGATCGGGCATATAGTCACTTCGGCAATATAGTCCCCTCGTTTCGGGGACCTAATTCCTTGCAGCTTGGCAATATAGTAACTTCAGAAAAAGGAGAATATTTGCACAACACTTGAACAGAAAAAGTACTTCATTGCTAAATGTTTGCTTTACAGTGTTAAAAAAAAAAACACAAACGAGCTCACAAGCTTGGAGGTTAATCTTCCTCGCCTTCAGAAGGGACTTCGACAATACCCGAAGGTCCCGCTTCGTCTTCGGAATCCGCGTCATCATCAGCTGTAGCAGCCATTTCCGGAGTGATGCGCGAAGTGGTTATGGCACTAATATCGAGCTCGGGGTACGTGTTCCTTATCATCCATCGGCTCAGCTTGAAACCCCTTCTGTACGAGCCCACCATCATGTCGTCGAAGCATGGCAAAGCGATGTAATCCTCGATGGCTTTCACCTTCGCCTCCTCAACGGCCTGAGAGAATATCTGAGTCTTCTCCCTGATATCATCTTGAAGGTACTCGACCTGATGCTCCAGTTCCAACTTCAGGTCCGCCATGTGTCTCACCACCATTCCTAAGGCCTCTTTGTCCCTCCGAGACCTCGATAGCTCGGCTCGCGCAGCACGGGAAGCCACTTCAGCAGCTTGTGCTCGCTTCAAGCCCCTCTCCGCTTGGATTGCCAAAGCGTGGATAGAGGAGTTCACCTGCCAGAACGAGGACAAATCGGCTTGGTAAAAAAAAAATCAGGGGGGACAAACACTACTTCGACTTACCACCATGGTGTGAGAGGCAGCCCGAGCGCCTATGAGATTTGTAGGAAGATTGGCCCACGCCGCGACTTCCTCGGGGCAAATGGCCTTTTTGCTTTTTCGGAGAGCGTAGCTCGGCGTCAGCACGATCCCAACCTCATCGTGACTTCCCGAGCCTGAAGGCACATCCCGGGTATAAGTAGTATCGGCATAGGGGACCCCTGCCGCTTCCTGAATTGGAGGGGGCACCTCGGGCTTCCCAGGAGGTTCCATTCTCGGTGCCTCGGGCTCTGCAACTCGGGAAGGATCGACGCAGACCCGCTTAGCAGCTCGCTTCCTCCTTTTCATGCCAGCAAACAAGTTCGCACCTCGAGTCTTCTCTACCTCCATAACACCTGCAAAAAGGACCTCGGCGTCAGAAGACATGAATAAAAACAAAGCAAAAGCAAGCCTCTGAGCAAGAAACCTACCCAAACTCAGACCGGCCTGAATAAGCGTGTCCTCCGTCAGGTAGACTTCGCATTTGAGCTCAAGCCAGGCCCAGTTCTGGAGGCCCTTCACCGTATCTTCGTCTAATGCGACACCGATGTCAGGAACGACCAACCCCCACTTAGTAGGGAACGGCCACCCCGTAGCACTTCGAATCACGAAGTAGTCCTGCTTCAATGCTGGGACCTTATTTGGGAGATCGTGTAAAAGCTTGAAGCTCGGACGAGGTGACAAGTAGTACGCCCTCCTGCGCCCGGGCAGGGGACCCGCTTGTTTCTTAAACATGAGAATAGCGGAAAAAATTTCCAAGTCCAAAGGAAGGCAGTGTTCACAGCAAAGGGAGATGGTCCCGACAAGGTTACAGATAGAGTTCGGGTGAAGCTGACCTATAGTGACGCCGAAGTGGTTCATGACCTCGACTATAAGGGGATGGAAGGGAAGGCATAGCCCGACAAGAAGCTGCTCCCGGAATATCACGATCTCATCCGAACCGTGCTCCTAAGGAAAGTCGCTCGAGGGAAAACATAAGTATACTCCCCGGGTAGGTTGTACTGGGCGATAAGGGACCAAAGCCTCTCGGACGTCATAGTGGAGGGTCCGAACTTGTCTGGCACCCGACCTCGACGGGAGGTGGATGCCAAACTACCCAAGGTGACTCGGCCTACGGGCTCAAACTCAAGCTCTTCCTCGAGCTCTACCTCGGGCCCCACCTCGGACTCACTAAGGCTGTCGGGGGCAGCAGCTCGGTTCGTAGAACCAGCATCGGACCCCCCCAGGAGACTATCTAAACTACCCGAGCTAGACATCAAAACAATGAGAAGGTTGAGGACTCACCAGGACAAGCTACCGGACTACGAAAAGTGACGCGAGCTGATTTCCTGGGATGTGAGCTCAAGGTACGAATGCTGGAGGATGGCGAAGGAAAGTGACTAGGGGCCCCCCACTATTTATAGCCACTGTACTCGCGCATCAACGACCAAGATCAAAA